CCAAGCACCAGCTTGGGTGCCTGGTGCCTGGAGCCGGCCCTGGCTGCAGGGGTGTTATACATTAACTCAGAGAATGCAATGTGTGATTTTGCAAAAGCTAGATTGTTTGTGCTTGGTATGTTTTGGGTCTGAATCTTTTCTGACTTAGTTTTACACTGGTGTAACACCCTGGACTTTGATGGAATTATTTCTGATTTAATCCTGTGTAAGTGAGAGGAGAATCAGGCCCACTATACCTAAGGTCTACAATTTGTTCAACATATGCACTGGATTTGAATTGTAGCTGCTTTTTTTAACCTCTTAGCTTGCTCAGTTTTATCTCTGAGGGGGAAAAGCAATCAGCAGATGTCATGTTGTGAATATTGGGTTCCTTACACAGGTTCAGCTGATGTGTCACCTCAGATAAAGCACTTGCCAGACCATGTGGAACTCAATTCTGGCGCAGAGTTTAAGCCTATTTGTATAGCCACTGGCAAGCCACTTCCTGTTATTGAAGAATTTAAACTGTTGAAACAAGATGGGACTGTCTTCAAGGTAAGTCCCTGGTTGGTTTCTACAATGTTTCTTATTTTTATTATTATTGTTATGTTTATTTGTTAGTTATTGCACGCTAAAGACACTTTGACCAAGTACACTTCCTTGGTGGTATGAAAATGCCCCGAGATCTTCAGGGTCAAATTTTCAACCAGCTTCTATGAACTTGCCTAGACTCATAGAGGTGCCAATTCAGGAAACTATCCCTATTCCGCAAAAGCATTTAGCACATGGTCATCTGTCTAGGGACAGACTTAAGCATGTGCTTCAGTGCTTTTCTGAATCAGATCCAGAACTTGCTGTATAATGGTGAAAAAGTGTGTGAGCATTTGTTCAAACTCCCCTTGGTTGCTAAGTTCATCCATGTTTGCGCCGCTTTTTATTCACTGTTTATGACAATTTGTGCGAACAGGCTTCTGTTTGCACTATTGTTTGGGGGCATGTCTGTCCTTCATACAAATTCCCCTACTTTGCGTACAAACGCTGATATTTGTCTGTGAAAAAGAGTGTTTGCTGTTCTGTTTGTCATTCTTCATTTGTTTGTTTTTTCCCTGTTTAAATACACCTCTACCCCGATATAACGCAGTCCTCGGAAGCCAAAAAATCTTACCGCATTATAGTGAAACCGCGTTATATTGGGTAGGAAAGGCTGTGCCTCCCCAAACAGCCTGGCCCCACCCCCATCTGACCCCCACCTACTTCCCACCCCCTGACTGACCCCTCAGAACTCCCGACCCATCCAACCCCCCCGCCCCGCTCCTTGTCCCCTGACCGCCCCCAGAGACCCTCTGCCCCTTATCCGACCCCTCGGCCCCGGCCCGGCACCCTTAACACGCCGATCAGAGCAGCGTGTCAGAGCTGTCCCTAGAGGGGTGCGGGGCCTGGGACAAATCAGCCTCCCCGCTAGTCTCTCACCATCCGCCCAGCAGTCCCACCCGCCTGGCTGCCGCTCGCCTCCTCACCCCACCTACCCGCTCGCCTGCCCGCCGCTCGCCTCCCCTCTAGTCTCCTCACCATCTGTCCGGCGCGCCTCCCCGCGTCCGCCCGCCTGCCTTCTCACCCCCCCTCCTGCCTGCCGCTCACCTCCCAATTCACCTCCTCACCCCGCTTGCCCACCCGCCTCCCACCCTTAACACGCCACTCAGAGCATGTCGGAGCCAGACATGCTGACCCGCCGGAGCACGCAGCCCCGCCCCCCCAGAGCGCTGCTTTACCGTGTTGTATGCGAACCTGTGTTATTTCGGGTCGCGTTATATCGGGGTAGAGGTGTCGTTTAAGAGGTAGTAGAAAAATATCATGTGACTTGGATGACTAGCTAAACACAGTGAATAATAAATAGCAAATGACTGAAATTAACTGTTCATGAACAACACATAGGCTCAGAATTCACCACCCAAACTGTTCAGCAAAGACTGAATAATTAATGCTCTTGCAAAACTCAAAACAGAAAAAGGGCTGAGTTCTTTGGATGATTTACTGGTAGTTGCTAATTCAACCAGTTGTAGCAGCAAAACTGAGTAAATAACACTGATGTGCAATGGCTGTAAAATGTCCTTCAGAGTTAGCTACATTTTACAGATGGGTGAAGAGGGCTCATACATGCAGAGCAGGAAATCAATGGAAGTTTTGTCACTGAGGCCAATAGAAGCGGGACTTTCTCTGAAGTACTTTGGGATTTTTTGGGAGGACAGATATTATAAATGGAAGCTATATTTATTATTGTTCCATGTTAAAAGCTACATTAAAGGAAAGTGAAGGTGGCAGAATGAAACACGCAGTAGTCAGGAAATAACATAGCTACAGTGAGCTCAAAATCAGAAGTTACCAGGGCCATTTTGTCTGCACTAGAAAACTCCTGACTGAGGTGTAATATACTACATGTAATGACTACATGCAATATACTAAGGGCCTGATCCAAAGCCCATTGAGGTTAATAGGAGACTTGCCATTGGCATTAATGGATTTTGGATGAGACCCTAAATTAGGAGGAGGCGTGACTTGGAGGAGGTTTTTCATTGTTCAGACCCTTCTTATGATTTGTCATTTCAGCCCGTCTCATTTGTTAGCAATCGCTCAGAGGCAAAGTTTCATATCAATAGAATCCAGCCGCCTGACTCAGGAATATGGGTTTGCAGTGTTGAGACAGTAGCAGGGATGGCAGAAGAGCCTTTCCATGTTACAGTTAAAGGTAAAGGTCTCTGACTCATGCGCTTTTAGATGTCCTTGCCTCCCTCTTTTAACCCGGGCAAGCTTACACCGTTAAATGTCCATACCATTCGTGAGATGCTATCTATCTTCTAGCAGTTTCTGTTCAGAGATCTGATAATGTATTGAGTTGAGTCATGAGCCCATTTCTTTATGTCATGTTTATACAAATACTTAACCCTTTCCATGTATATTATCCTGCTCCATCATTTATGCTCCAGCTATGCTTAAAGGGCCTGAACCAAAGCCTACATTATTAAACTCAATGGAAGTCCTTCCATTGACTGGAAAGAGCTGTGAATCTGGCCCAGAGCTTGCTGCTTTGCTGATATTTAATGTAGTATGGAAAATCTTCTTTAGAGACTAGGACAAGTATCTTCAAACATAGATGTGTAAATTAGGCACTGCCATCCATATTCACGCATCTTAATAAAAGAAGCCCAATTGTCATGTGTACTGAGCACCTAGAAAACCAGAGACTTCAGAGATACAGGCGCTCAGAGTGGTGCTTTGGGGTTCAAGCCAGACCAGTAAGAGGTTGTGTCGCCGCCTGCCCTGCAACTTTGGATGCCATCAGTGCTATGCTGCTATGGCTCACTGCCTGAACACCAACAGCCAGCATACAAGCAGGCAGGTCACACCCTGGCTTCCACAACCCAGTTACGTTTTGCAGAGCGACCCCCAATACTCTCAGTCCCAAATTTCCCCCAAACTGTCTGCCAGTGTGACAATGTGCTGAGGTTCCCAGAATTGAGAGTTACTGCGTTACCCCTCTCTGCCTCAGCAAGTGAGAGTTTTGCTACTGCTAAGCTCTGTCACAACTCCCTGACACACCAGCTTGTCTGCCTTGCCAGCAAACTCCTCAGGACTCTGCCAGTCCAAACCTTGCCCTGCAGGTAACAAACAGTGACCCCCAACTTCCAAGTTCCCAGAGACGTCTCCCCGGCAGAGTCCTCTCCTGGAAGGCTCAAGAAGTTATTCGTTCATTGCTCCTTTAAAGAGACAATACACTCCAATTCATTAATTTAACTTGGGTTTGACAAACACTCTTACTTCAATCACTGCACAGAATTGGCATATGGTAAAAGAAAAATAAGTTTATTAAGCAAAATGTCAAAGGTCTATAAAGGAGTAAAGGTAGAAAGGGTTACAAGCAAACAAAAGTAAAAATACTCTTCTAAGGCTAAAACTTAATTTCAGCAAGTTACAGTCTTTGCCTAAGCAGGTTTCTCACCTATATATAGTTCCCAGAAACTTCAGCCCCCTGGGTTGAAGGCTCCAATGTCCTGTGATTTGAAGGGCTCTGGCCCCTTGAATTTTATGGGGCTCTCTCCCCTTTCTTTGTATAGTCCAGTACACTTTTGAAATGTAGTCTTTGAAAAGTAAGCCAGCCCAAGCTTCTCTCTCCTGCTGGGATGTAGACACCATGCTGTTTTCCCAAAGTTCATTTACCCTGTTAAAGATGCAGGAAGGCTTCCTGATGATTTTCCATCTCTGTGCTGATCTGGATGTAAACCAGGCTTACATTGCTTTGATAATGCTTAATTTACCTTGGAGACAGTAGATAGCTACCTTCCCTGCTGTCTCTCTTTGTACACACCCATCCATACCTCATGCAAGAATATTAATGATCAGTGAGTTATCAGTTTACCAGTGATACATTACACGCTAGCTTTTGGGTCTATATCATGACAACAGTGTATTAGGTGTAGTGAGTATGTCAGGCTTGACAAGAGTTGCTGACACAGAGAAGTGAACCACCAATGGGCCTCTGTGTCTCCCTCAGCAGCTCTAAAAATCAGGGTATGTAAGTAAGTGCTACTCAAAGTGAATAAGAGTTATAGAAATAGGACCCTTACAGTAGGGAGCATATTGACCATAAGGGGACACTATCTAGATCAAAACCCATATTTTATCAGTCTTCCTTCCTCTTGATAGTCCTACCTGGGATTATTAAAGCTGAAAGAATTTTTAAAATCTGATGTATTTTTATTGTGGATAACATTTGTTTACTTTCTTGGCATTTCATTCAGCCTGGACAGTGTTTCCAATCAGTTTCACTTTCTGGTTCTCATGGACTGGCACAAGATTGGAATGTTTTTTATTGACAACACTACAGGGAAATGTTTAAATAAACATCTGCATTCAAAATATTAAAACAGTTCTACCTTGAACAGCCACCTCCTGCATTGTAATTTTTATGAATTGGCAAATGAATGGGACGGTAAAGTTTGAAAAAAAAAATCCAAGCGTTTGGAAAGGGATCTAAACCCTCATTTTTTAGGATATAATCCCACCTCCAACTAATGGGAGTTAGGAAGAAACTTTCCCTACCACAGAGAAATGTTGTTGAAGCAGCTGTCAGAAACAGGGTACTGGAGTAGACGGACCATGCTCTGATACAGTCTGGCAATACCTGTATTCCTATGAATCCAGGTAGATGCCACAGTTTTATTAATACAGACAAATAAAAGATCTGGTCTAATAGTCATATTCTTGCTCAGTTCCTCCTGTGCCTCAGTATGCTCCGAGGATGATAGACAGTGGACATAATTTTCTCATCATCGATATCAATGCTGACTCCCATACTGGCGATGGACCGATTGTGTTAACCAAGCTCCTGTATAAGCCTGCTAAAGGTTATCAGCCCTGGATGTCAGTGGAAGGTAAGGGTCAGTCCTTTCATCCCATCAATCATACAGAAACCTCATCTACAATCAAGCTGAAGCAAAATTAGAATGTGGTGTTCGCTCTAAAGTAAAATTCTGTTCTGAAAAATGACTTTTACTTATGCAGGGCTCAAAAGAACCTACAGCTGGCCCTGACGAGCAATTCTTATGTAGTTTTTAAGCTAAAAAGATATTAAAGCAGTAGCAGAAGCAAATGGCCTCCTGTCTCAGGTTTTTATAAGATATAAAACCTGAGATTGTGTGTTATACTGGTGGTGGTCCATTGTGTTGAAGTTCAGTATATGGCCACAGCAGTTGTTGTAGTGATGTCCAGGAACTTCCAGTTCCCACAGGGGCAGCATCTGCAGGTCTTTGGAGAGACAGACCTGTGAGGAAGCTTGTGAGTACAGGCTCCTATCACCATGGTACCCAAGTACTGGCTTCTAGGACTTCTAAAGACCAAGGGCAAAGTTCAGATGTGAGTCAAGTGAATTTAAGTAGCCTAGAGGAGAGGATAAATTGGTGTAGCTTAACCACTTCATCCAGTCCCCTCAATGTACATTAAAGCCATGTAGACTTTTTCTAGATTCCCGTAGGCTTACATGGGCTCACTTACATGTTGGTGAGTATGTGAGTAACTTACAAACACACACCTTATACATCAGCTCTAAATTTGACCCACTGAGTGCAAGGGAATGTAAACAAATGTATTTCAGACTCTGACAGGCCAGAAGCGAGGAACGTAGCTAAAAAAACCCAATAAACTGCAGGATGTAAGAAGGTGTAATCTAAAGCAGCCCCCATCCTCTTTAACTGACACCTTCTGACTCCTCAATGTGTAATTTATACCAGCTTGGTTTCCCTTACATCTCAATAACTGGATGCAGGTAGATATAAGGGAGTATGCCTGATTGTATGGGAGTCTAACCTATATCCCTTTACACATCGTCTTCATTAGACACCAAGTCTCTTTGCTGGGATCTCTTGATGAAACACAGATACATCAACACTGAGGATTCTTGAGCCTTTAACCACCACGTTCACGGGTATTCAGGATTCCAATTTGTTCTTTCCAGGCTTATATGTTATGTCCATCATTGTGGTATCTGAACTCCTAATAGCTAGACCAGGGGTAGGCAACCTATGGCACGCATGCCAAAGGCGGCACGCGAGTTGATTTTCAGTGGCACTCACATTGCCCGGGTCCTGGCCACTGGTCTGGGGAGCTCTGCATTTTAATTTAATTGTAAATGAAGCTTCTTAAACATTTTAAAAACCTTATTTACTTTGCATGCAACCATAGTTTAGTTATATACTATAGACTTACAGAAAGAGACCTTCTAAAAATGTTAAAATGTATTACTGGCACCCGAAACCTTAAATTAGAATAAATAAATGAAGACTCGGCACACCACTTCTGAAAGGTTGCCGACCCCTGAGCTAGACCAATGACGTCATTAAGTCTCCAAAAGAGTGAAGAGGTCTGCCTGCCCATCTCTGACTACAGGATCAGATTGTTAGATCTTTGGATCGGGGCCAGCTCACTTGGGGCCAGATTTTCAGAAATGCTCAGCACCCAGCAGCTCCCGCTGAGGACACTGAGCACGTCAGTACTTTTGAAAAGCTGCCCTTTTGTATCTCATGCAAGGCTGGGCACATTGCTGGTGCTTTAACCCGTCATAAGCAATACTGTCATAATGGTAATTAACGTGTACGTCTAAACAGCTCACCCTAGAGTAATGGGGGTAAAGCGGAGCCTATAACCTTGACCTCTCTCAAGCGCAGACCCAGCTGTGATGCGGGATTCAGAAAATCCCTTATTATTTTTCAGAATGGAATGGAGGGTTGACCTTTTTTTCTCCTTTCGTTCCCAGTAAATGGAAAGAGCAAGAAATTAGATAATCTAGAACCCAAAACAGAATATCAGTTCTGTGTTCAGCTAAGCCGGCAAGGGGATGGTGGAGAAGGGCATCCTGGGCCACAGGCAAGCTTCACAACGGCTGCACTTGGTACGTAGGACTTTTGGCCTTTCACATGGGGAGCTTTCAATCAGCCTTCTTCGTTTTCTCTGCAATATGCACAGCCGCATTCAGCTGCATGCATGCCAAAGCCCACTGAAGTCAATGGAAGCCTTTCCATTGATTTCAGTGGGTTTTGGACCAAGCCCTAAAACAATGTTTCTCAAACAGTGAGGCCAGGGGAGGCTCAGATCCTTTCAGAGGAGTCTCAAGCAAAGCAAAGGAAAATGGAAGAATTGCAAAAGTGGCTAAATATAATTCTCCCCATTTTACAGGTGGGAAAACTGAGGCACAATGAGGTTAGTGCCACACAGAGAGTACTCAGCTATGTTGGGGATAGAACCCCTTCTTCTGGTTACTAGTGATGGCTCTAACCATTAGACTATGTTGACTTCTTTAAGGTAAAGACTATTTAAAAATCAGAATCTCATACGGAGTCAAGGAACAGGAAGAAATCAAATACTCAAGCACTAAATAAATGACTCTTGTATACTGAACCCTTAAAATGGAAATGACCCAGCAATAAAAAGAGAGGGGCCTGGCCCTTTCCTCATGTTTAAAAACTTCCACTTTGCATCAGTAATCTCTCAACCCTCCTCCATCCCAGTGAAGGACACGAGGTCAGCAGTTCTTTATATGGAGCTTGTGCACACCAGCAACCAACCAGGGATCTACTAGCTGGGGAGTATTAGCTTTCTTCCCTCCGCCCCAAGTCCTTCAATGTCATTTGAATTCCCAAGTCTATTATCTCTATCCTCACATTGTCCCATAGCTCTGTTGTTTTACTTAACCACACACGATATAGTAATTCAGGCCCCCTCATTCTCCTTCGAAGAACTGTAGGTAGTGAGAGGGGCATTTACTTTTGCTATTCTGCTCTAGTGAATGTGACTGTGGACAGGAACTAAGTGACAGGGTCTGATTCTCCATTGCCTTGCCCCATGTGTAGTCATTTACACCTATGAAAGTGAATGTAGAATGCTGCCAAATTGACATATTAGCCCAGGGATCAGCAACGTCTGGCACACGGCCCGCCAAGGTTAGCACTCTGGCAGGCCGGGCCGGTTTGTTTACCTGCCGCGTCCGCAGGTTCGGCCAATCGTGGCTCCCACTGGCTGCGGTTCGCCGCTCCAGGCCAATGGGGGCTGCGAGAAGGCGTGGCCAGCACCTCCCTCGTCCCGCGCCGCTTCCCGCAGCCCCCATTGGCCTGGAGCAGCGAACCATGGCCAGTGGAAGCCGCAATCGGCTGAACCTGTGGACGCGGCAAGTAAACAAACCGGCCCGGCCAGGGGGCTTACCTTGGCGGGCCGCGGGCCAAACGTTGCTGATCCCTGTATTAGCCTTTTACGTGCACTTTCTAGCACTATAAATGATTATACACAGTGCAGGGCAGTGGAGAATCAGGCATTAGGTAAACAATCTTTCACAAAACCAGAGCAAATGAAGCCACATCAGTCCAGGAGGGAACGTGGCTGGAGGAGGTGGCTAGAGAAATTCCAGATTTTCTGAGAAGCAAATGGCATTGCAGAGAAACTGAAGATCTGAAATCCACCGCCCTGCTACTTGTGGCAGGCCCAGCGGCATCAGAGATTGACAGTACTTTCCAGTGGCACCATCAGGGCACTGCAAAATGCTAAAGTCATTTAAAAATGTCAGTATTGTGATCCATGCAAGGATGCCATGTCCCTGAGAAGCAACCGAAAACGCCATGCTTGGGCTGAGCATTTGACCTCAACAGCAATTCTAGCCTCTGCTAGGTATGGAGGACAACATTTGAACTCTGGATGACCTCAGGCCTCACTTGGCGATGCAGAGCACTAACCCAGAAGGCCAGTTCCAGATTATTGTTTTAATACCAGCCTTTGTGTGCAAGTATCCAGAAGACATAAAATAAAGTTTTTTCTCTCTCTCTGTGGATTCTCTAAGGTCTTCCTCCACCAGAAGGTCTCACCCTCCTTCCTAAAAGCAAGACATCTCTGATTTTGTCATGGCAGCCAATAGCACAGAAGCCAGAAGATGACCTTCTTGTTGAAGTGGAAAGGACGAGTGTGAATGACAACAGTGGTGATGAGGACAGACCTGATATCACCCATGTGCCAGGAAATATATCCACTCTGGTTATTGATGATTTAGAACCCAGACAGCAGTATAGGTGCAGGGTACGTGTGAATACCAGGTCTGAAGGAGAGTGGAGTGACTATTTGTATGCATGGACCTACAGTGACAGTAAGTGACTGGATTCACTTTACTTTATTTATTCTTTTCTCTTCCTCTTCCCCCCTCCCCGCTCCCAGCAGGATTCTGTTGTTGCTAGAGGTCTCTGTAAAATGTAATTGTTTGACAGGTTTGGTCACAGAGACCCACTTGGGACTGTCACCTGATTTGCTGAAACTACCTCTGAGCCCGTCTTCCCTGCCAGCTTGGGACTCCAGAACCCTGTCTTGTTGAGCCAGACACGCAAACCTTCTGCAACACAGACCGAGGGTCTGAACCACGTCCCCAAAGCTGCAGACTTAACTGAAAACAGCTCAGCAAGTGCTCCTGTCTCCAGCACTCAGACACCCAGTTCCCAATGGGATCCAAACCCCAAATAAATCCATTTTACTCTGTATAAAGCTTATATAGGGTAAACTCATAAATTGTCCACTCTCTATAACACTGATAGAGAGATATGCACAGCTGTTTGCTCCCCCAGGTATTAATCACTTACTCTGGGTTAATTAATAAACAAAAGTGATTTTATTAAGTCTAAAAAGTAGAATTTAAGTGGTTTCAAGAAATAACAGACAGAACAAAGTAAGTTACCAAGCAAAATAAAACAAAATACGCAAGTCTAAGCCTAATACATTTAAGAAACTGAATACAGGTAAATCTCACCCTCAGAGATGTTCCAATAAGCTTCTTTCACAGACTAGACTCCTTCTTAGGCTGGGCCCAATCCTTTCCCCGGTACAGTTCTAGTTAGTTCCAGCTCAGGTGGTAATTAGGGGTTTTCTCATGACTGCAGCCCCCTTTGTTCTATTCCACCCCCTTTTATAGCTTTGGCACAAGGCAGGAATCTTTTGTCTGTCTGGGTCCCCACCGCTCCTTCTAAATGGAAAAGCACCAGGTTTAAGATGGATTCCAGTACCAGGTGACATGATCACATGTCACTGTAAGACCTCATTCTCCATTCTTTCAGGGCTGGCCTGCACGTACCCAGGAAGGTTTGCGAGTAAACAGAGCCATTCACAACCAATTGTCCTAGTTAATGGGAGCCATCAAGATTCCAAGCCACCATCAATGGCCCACCCTTTGCATAGTTACAGTAGGACTTCAGAGTAATACTTCATATTTCTAGCTTCAGATACAAGAATGATACATTCATACAAATAGGATGACCACACTCAGTAGATTATAAGCTTTGTAATGATACCTTACGAGAGACCTTTTGCATAAAGCATATTCCAGTTACATTATATTTACACTTATAAACATATTTCCATAAAACATATGGAGTGCAACGTCACAGCAATCCTCTGCAATGATAGCATAGTGTGTCTGAATGCGCATTTACAGCTGCTTTTAGCTATTGTTAAGAGGGATAGCTGAGGGTCAGCACTAATTCTTATCCCCCGGTCAGAGACTAAGGATGTGAGTTTCAAAAGTTCCTAAGTGACTCGGGAGCACAGGTCTCAGTGACTTTCAATGGGACATATGCTCCTAAATCACTTAGGTGCTTTTGAAAATCCCACCCTGAGGGCCTGATTCTCAGAAGTGCTGGGCACCTACAGCTCCATCCAAGACAACAGGATCTCCATTGATTCGGAAAATCTGGCTGAGTTGTACCAAGCACTGAACGGTGAGGAGAAGGTGCAATGTTTGTGCACTACACTGAGTGCAGAGAGTAGTTGAGTCTGTCGTAATGCTGGTGCTAGAATCCTCAAAGGAGGTAGGAAGGGATGAGAATGTGGTAAGGCCATAGACTCACCTGCCCCCCACAGTACTGTCACCGCAGCCACACTCCCTGGGGGCTCATGAAGTCATTGTGCTTGCCTGAGGGACAGTGCTTCTAGTACGCTCCTCTGGAAGGGCACATCTCTGCACCGCTCACGCCTGCAACCTCAGTGCTAATCCCATTCGCATAGGTGCTTACCCACACTGGTAAAGGTTGCACAGCTGGGCCCTGCATGTATTACAAAAATGACAGTGGTGACCTGCTTCCGGAAATATCACCATTATTCTGAGGAGAACTTGTCTTGCCAGCTGTGGTTGTGGCCACCAGCTAGGGGCTCAATCCTGGTCCCATTGAAATCTGTGGGAGTTTTGCTATTGACTTCTACCCTTCCTAACGGCTGTTAGATGGACAAGGAAAACAGGCCTTAAAGCAATGAAAAGTAAGGGATGCTGGAGCCACAGGGGGATGCTGATCCAGTCGGGAGGTAAAATTATGCTGCCCTAATTCAAGAGGAATCCCTTTGTCTAGGATAGTACCTGGAGCAGTCTCTTCCTTTTCCTAGCAAGGATAGGGAATACCACGAGGAATCTGCTACAAGTGTTCAGCACTGCAATAGTTGGTGCCAGAATGAAATGAACCATGTCAAGTTTATAAAAACATAGTCAAGTTTCATTTGCTGTCGCCCTGATCCTGGTTCTGTTTAAGCCAGTGGGAGGATTGGGGAAAGGATTGGCACCAAAAGAAGGAGCAAGGCTGGATGTAAACTGGAACGTGTTCTTTTTTTGTTCATAGGAATCCCACCGTCACCTGACAACATCAAGATTTTCAACATCACGGACACCTCTGCCATCATCTCTTGGTCAACTGCTGCGGGACAGTCCATCTCCTCCATCATCATCAGCTACAAGATTTATGGCAAGGCTGAGTACAACCACATTGACGTCACAATAAAAAACACAACCATCACGCAGTATCATCTCAAGGGCCTCGAGCCGAATACTGTGTATCTGGTTCAGATGAGTGCACAGAACAATATTGGACTGAGCAACCCAAACCCTTCTCTTGAACTGAAGACTCTCCCGGAAACAAAAGGTTGGTTACTCCAGCGTACTGAACTCAATCCAAACCATGCCTGGGTGGTCTGGGAGGCCATGTGGGTTAGCAAGCTGAGAACAGAGCTGGGGACTATGAACACCTGAGATTTTATTTATTTGTTACTCTGAATGTTGTTGTATTTTTAAAAAAATATACACAATGCACATCCAGACAAAGGCCCTTAGAATTTGAATCCCAGCTCTGTTATTGGCTCAATGTGTGGCCTGGAGCAAGTCACACAATTTCCAAAAGTGGCCGCTGACTTTCAGTGCCCCAGTTATTGAGGGCCCAACGTTTCATAGATGCTTAGAGTTTAAAGCCAGAAGGGACCATTAGCTCATCAAATCTGACCTCCTGCATAACACAGGCCATGGAATGTCACCAGCCTGGCCACCCACAGACTGATTTTCAGAGATGCTGAGCACCCCCAGCTCCAGTTGAAATCAGTGGAGCCACAGCTGCTCAGCACTACTGAAGATGAGGCCCAAGTTCTCTGTGCTTCCATTTGTGTATCTGCAGAATGAGAACGCTAATCTTTACTTCCCTCAGAGGATTGTCAGCGTTAACCAGATGCTGTTAAGTACCATTTTCCCCTCAACAGCTCCGTATGACTCGAAGGGAGGGAAAATGCTGCTGATTGCTATCCTTGGCTCAGCAGGGATGACCTGCCTGACAATCCTGCTGGCCTTTCTCATCATGCTGCAGCTAAAGCGAGCCAACTTCCAGCGCAGAATGGCTCAAGCCTTCCAAAACGTGGTGGTGAGTTTCCAGTTTTGCTTTGACGGTGCAGTTGTTCATCTCAGCCTCATCTGTTGTCTTTTCCTGATAAGGTTCCCTCCTCCTCCTCTTCCAACTTTCGAAATAAAGCTGCCCCGTAATGCACGTGTTAGCATTAATAGTATCAAGCTTTCCTACCACTGACCCAGAGGTGAGCAGGGGATCACAATTGTGGGATATGAAGTAGACAGTCCACCTAGAGGAGGAAGGCAGCTATGTACTATGTCTCCCCTTCTGCTTTGCTGCTTCTATCTCCTTTGCAGAACCAGTTTGTGATCTGATGTGTGTGAGGACAGGAGGCATGCCCTGCCAGACCAGAGAAAGGCTTGTGAACACACTACTCTGTGTGGCGTGGTCTCCATTAAAGCTGCACCGTGGATTGTAAAATGCAGTGCAAGTTGCTGCTACTCTGAGCCCCAGTAACTGCTCCTCCACAGCTTTTAGAGATGGGCACAGCAGGCCAGGAGCCAGCCAATGGCAGCACCACACCTCTACCAGCTTCTTTCATACAGTGGACAGTATGGGCCATGATCACCCGTTGTTAGGTCCCACGGAAACTCTCCCTACACGCTTTTCTTCCACAGAAGCAAATCCTATGGGGATGCATTAATTAAAGTGAGGATGACCCTTCAAACACAGCAGACTATTTGCTGCACCACAGCCTGATTAGGCAAGGGAAAGAGTGGAGACGATTTAGTTGCTAGATGTAATAGTTTGCTCAGATGTTTCACTTTCTCTTCTTTCTTCCCCAACACTGCAGTAGAACATCCTCAATATGAAGAGGGAAGCTTATCCAACCCTGTAGCCTACTTTCTGTCAGCCTCCACCACACTATTATAAAAATAGTCAGCAAGTGTCTGACACTCCTCTCATTTAGACAGTATAAACCAGGAATTATTCTGCAGAAGACAATAAGCAAGAGAAGGCTCAGCTCCCATATGCTTATATTGAGTGGACAATAAGTTCTGTGGTATTACTCCAAATGTTACAAACAACAACTACTAACACCTGGTTATTTTTTTTCACAGAGAGAAGAGCCAGCTGTCCAGTTTAACTCAGGAACTCTCACTCTGAGCAGGAAAGCCAAGAACAGCCCAGACCACACTATCTATCCAGTCCTCGAGTGGAATGACATCAAATTTCAAGATGTGATCGGGGAGGGCAACTTTGGACAAGTCCTTAAAGCACGAATTAAGAAGGATGGCTTGCGAATGGATGCTGCCATCAAAAGGATGAAAGGTCAGCAGTTTTCATTAAAGAATGTAGAGTCTTTGAAGCCAGGGCCCTATGTTTATCTGGGTTTGTACAGCGCCTGGCACAAGGGGACCTTGATCCTGACTGGGGCCTCTGGCTGCTAATGTAATATAAATACTAAATAATGAGCTTCTGCTTTTGCCTGGCCAACGTTTGCACCCTGGTGATGGCTTTTTTTTCTCTCTGTGTGTTTTTTGTAGTTTGACCCGGTATCATTGAGTGCTGACTCCTATATGCGAGTTTCAGTCTGTTTGATGGGTCACATGAAAAGCTCATCATTTGCTACTCCACAGTGATAACGGCACAGAGCCTTTAAAACTTGCCAAGGTTGCCTTAAATAAATAGATAAGGTAGCAGTATATTTGCAGGCTCATTTTAAATTTCCCTCTACTTATTGTCGGGCATCACTTCTCTATCGAAGGTACTTTTAAGATGCTTATCAGCATGGTATCTAAGTTCCAAAAATACTAGAATACTGCCACTATCGTGCCTGGAATACTGCAGATACTGAGATGTTGTTATGCAGCTCTCTAAGTCATTATCCAAGGAAATTGGCAGTTGTTTAAGGGTGGCCATTGTATCATCCATTCTAAGAACATGAAGACAAAGCATGGGTGCTGCTGGTGCGTGGAATGGTGAATGCTGAGTTTTTAATGATACCCAGTGTGACCAGAATACCAAGGGAGCCGACTGAGGTCGCTCAATTAGGATGAACTGCAAAGAACTGGGCAGACAATCCCCAAAGCTGGTGGATATTCCAATACTTAGATTTACCAAGCCAGCACAAAGCCTTCTATAATACCTCACTGGTTACCCAGAAGCCAACAACACAGTTGTTAAAGTAACCCAGCCTCAGGCCTTCACCCAGACACCCAAGTTAAATATGATGAGGACTAATGAAAATCTTATTCCTCATATAAAAAGGCTCTACCAATCCCAAAGGATCAGACACATTACCACCCAGGTTAACGAATATTCCAGATCTTACCCAAATACACGCTACAGCCAATTCTTATTAAGTAAACTAAAATGTATTAAAAAAGAAAAGGGAGAGAAGATTGGTTAGAAGATCAGTATACACACAGACATGAGTGCAGTGCTTGAGATTCAGATTCCTAGCAGAGATGGTGAGCTTTGTAGAGGCAGAGTTCTTTCAGAAATAGTTCATAGGTTATAGTCCAGTGTTTGTATTCAGGGCAGGCCAGTCAGCGCTGGGATCTCAGTCCTTGTGGCTTAGGCTACCCCTGCATGAAGCCGCAAGCAGATCTGAGATGACAGGATCAGGACCCAAGCCCTTTTTTATATAGTCTCAGGCTCTCTTGTGACAGCTCAGAGAACAATAGTCACTCATTTCCTAAGCATCCACACAGATCCACATAAGGCAATTGCCTGTTTTTCCACCATTTGCAGATGATTTGCTATACATTTCGAAGAGAGATGAATACAGCGATATCCTAGGTTTACAGTTCATTTAATTGTTAAGAATTTCTTTTGATCTCTGAATTAACAGAATACAGCATAGACGGACTGTTTGATTACATTGTTGATCGCTACCCATACATATGTCAATACACAAAAATGCAAACATTATCTACACATATGTTTTTAAGGGTTGAATTTGTATCATTTGTCCTGCAGGATGCTTAACCCTTTCTTCCTTAGTTTGGGTTTTTAATTTGATCATCAACTTTAATCTGCTCTAGGGAAACATTTTCCTGACCAATGAGTTCTTTCTGTGCTTTATCTAATTCCAGATTCACTTCTGAGATATTAGACAGACATTCAGAAACTTCATTCACATATCAACTGCTTTTCTGCACAGACACACAGCTATTTTCCACAGACAAACATTTGGAGAATTCCTCAATAGGCAATTCCTAATAGACACAGGTTTAGGATTATTTCTTTCCTGTGACTGGTTTATGTTAGCCCGACTGACATAATATCAAGCTTTAATATCATGCTCAATCAAAAGATTCTTAGGCAATAACTTCCTTACACCAGCTATAACTTCATGGTTAATGCCATTCTATTCAAGGTGGATACTGGCTAAAGGCACATTTACAGTAAACTCATAGAGGATTACAATATTCACACTTTCACCCGGTAAGTAATCTTCCTCTTTGACAAGATCCTCTTTAACAAGAGTGATGTTAGAACCTGTAATTTGCCCTAAACAGCTTTTACCATTGATTTTTACATTCTCTGCCCAAGTTATGGGGTTACCTTCACCTGAGCTCACAGTAAAAGTATTTACATAACAGGTGGCAGAGTTGGGGTATATTTTGGTTACACACAGAAAACTGCTTACAGTCAAACAACATACCAACATTGTTACAAACTGGATAGATTCTATCCCCATCTTTGCTGCTGGGAGGAGCTGGCTTTTCGGGATGATACAGTTCCTTCATTCTCTTGAGTTGGAGCTTAAAGTCTGTCCATTTTTGCCTTAGCTTCTAGTTCCTGCAATCAAATATATGCGATGCTTTGTTCATGTTCAAAACATAGGCATTCTCTTTCAGCAGCGTCTCTTTCCATATCAGCTTTTCCTGCAATCGAAGATCTATTCGCTTTTGTTCAAGTTGCTGCTGGTTTCTCACTGAAAGCATTTTCGCTGAGGCCTTGGCTACACTGGCGCTGTACAGCGCTGCAACTTGCTGCGCTCAGGGGTGTGAAAACGCCACCCCCCCGAGCGCAGCGAGTGCAGCGCTGTAAAGCGCCAGTTTAATCAGAACCTGCAATGCTGCACGCTCGCTCGCAGCGCTGCAAGCTACTCCCCTCGGAGAGGTGGAGTACATACAGCGCTGCGAGAGCTCTCTCGCAGCGCTGGCGGCGCGACTACACTCACGCTTCACAGCGCTGCCGCGGCCGCTGTGAATTCCCGAGTGTAGCCAAGGCCTGAGTCTGCTTCCTGATTACTGGCCACTAACAGATTTTTCAGTTCTTGCTCTGGGGCCTTTTATTAAAAGACAACCCCCCTCTGTGAGTACAATTCTTCCAGGCTTTTTCTGTCAGGATCGTCAGAGGATCTGGGTCACTCACTGTAACTGATTTGTAACCCTTAAACTCTCCAATATCACAATTAATTTTTGACAAGTGTGTCGTTTTGATCCAAAAACCCAATTAACCTGTGGTAATGTGTGTCCAAGCACGACTACGCCACTGTGACCGGACTCCCAGGGGAGCCGACTGAGGTCACTCAATTAGGATGAACTGCAAAGAATGGGGCAGGTAATCCCCAAAGCTGGTGGATATTCCAATACTTAGATTTACCAAGCCAGCACAAAACCTTCTATAATACCTCACTGGTCATTCATCACACCCAGTGTGCATCTTTTATGGATGAAAAACTGGTCTAAGTGTGGATAGGCCAGAAGGGCAGTACCACTCTGGCTATGCCAGCATGCCAGCTACACTAGATAAGTACAAACAGGGACAAGAAAAACTTGTATATGGTAAATCAAAATATAAGTTTAGGGGCAACGCTCCAGCCAAGCTCCCAATATTTATAATGTATCTTTTAATCAGAGAGATCCAAGCTTTGTTGATTTTGCTGTTTAGGGATTATTATGCTCAATCCACCTCCCAGTAGGGTCTTTTGATTGACTTCAGGTGGGGTTAGATTGGACCCTTAATTAAGGACAAGATGAATCATAGCTGTAGACAAGGTTTATATATAAAACCAGGCATATTCCACAACTGTTTCAGATCATATCCTCATTTTTAGATGTTAAAAGATCTTTTCATCATAGGTAAGCAGCAGATGGGTTCAGCTGGTTTACTACACCAGACTTCACAGAATCTTATTTTGTGCTGCATTGTAAGTGTGCTAGGTGAAAAATATTTCCAGTGTACGATCACGTTAGCCTATCGATGGATTTTTGAATAAGCTCACTTGGCTACTTTTATTACCCTTGAATTGGATGCTTTAAGGTGTTTGGTATTTGGGGACTTCAATATCAAGATCTACTCACTCTCTTTTTTTAGGCTGATGGATTTCTATAACCTGCTAAGGCATATTGTGTCTCAATACCATAAGAGGAGTGACATATTGGGTGTGACTGTTGAAGACATTATGAGGTCTCTAGGTTTTTGATTGAAGAATGATGTTATTATCTAGGTAAAGACTGGAATACTATGGAGTTTATCCCTTTTCGACATCAACCAGTAGTCCAAGTTCTTGTCTTAATGAACAGTAGCAACAGTGTGGTTTTAACTGCAGTTTAGATGAGTACATAAATAAATGTTTCTTTGATTTCCAGAGTATGCCTCAAAGGATGATCACAGAGACTTTGCTGGAGAATTGGAAGTTCTTTGTAAACTTGGACATCATCATAATATCATAAATCTTTTGGGAGCATGTGAACATCGGGGTAGGATATTTTGTTTACCTGGCTTTAAAAATTATACAATAAAATAAAATATAAAACTACATAGTCCAGGCCAGAAATTCTCCTTATATTAAAGTAATTATTGTACTCAAAAAAGGAAAGATGGCACCCTGTTCATAACATAAAAATATAAGCAGATTTTACATAAAATATTTAGATGCATAGTAAACAGAAAACACGACATAGCTAAACAGTGGTCTGTGGACCACCAGTGATCAGCAGTGCTCTTTTTGGTGGTTTGCAGAATTAATCTGTTTGAAAACCAAGCAATGGGGTTTTTGGACAGGAGGTTTGTTCATAAGCCAACGTTTACCTGGGAGGATCACTGAAGTGAATAGATCCACACCAGTTAATGATCTGGCCACGTACTACAGTAGTACTTTAGAGTTACGAACACCAGAGTTATGAACTGACCAGTCAACCACAGACTTCATTTGGAACTGGAAGTACGCAATCAGGCAGCAGCAGATACAAAAAAAAAAAAAAAAGTAAAGAACTGTGTTAAATGTAAACAACAAAAAAAATAAAGGGAAAGTTTAAAAAAAAGATTTGACAAGGTAAAGAAACTATTTCTGTGCTTGGTTAATTTAAATGAAGATGGTTAAAAGCAGCATTTTTCTTCTGCACAGTAAAGTTTCAAAGTTCAGTTGTAAACTTTTGAAAGAACAATCATAAAGTTTTGTTCAGAGTTACAAACAACCTCCATTTCCGAGGTATTTGTTCTACTGTATTCCACATTGTGAACTGCTGGGCTGCAACCTTTCTGTTATGAAAAACTCTTTTTGAACTATAAAATCACAAGAATCCTTCTGAAATGGCCATCATTGCCATCTTCTTCTGCACCTGAGAGATATAAGGTTTGTTTGTTTGTTTGCATCTTGTGTGGCATTATACTGTAGTAGTGGGACCCTATCAGGGGAAATGCATAATCACTGACACTGTCTCCTTGTTTAGCTTGTTATGTAATACTGCTCTCTGTTTTACATTAGGGTATCTTTACCTGGCTATTGAATATGCTCCACATGGAAATTTACTCGATTTCCTGAGGAAGAGCAGAGTGCTGGAGACAGACCCAGCATTTGCTATTGCCAACAGCACTGCCTCCACTCTGTCCTCTCAGCAGCTTCTGCATTTTGCAGCAGATGTGGCCAGAGGGATGGACTACTTAAGCCAAAAACAGGTCAGCTCTGAGCTCCTTGCCTTTTAAAAACACAGCACTTTATTTTTTAGGGCTTGATCTAATTTTTGTCACCCCTATTCAGTATGTATGGGTAGTGCTATACCAGAATTGATATTTTATACATTTCTTCGGTGAGTTATTTGTTCCTCCAACTCAGATTTCTTTCTTCTAGAACGTGGATCTATCTATCTATCACTCACTCACTCACCTATTTATATGGCTCTTGTCACCATATTATCTGAGCACCCATGCAACACTTAAAAATAAATCTGAATGAAATTTAAGATTATCACCAAAGAAGGCATTTTAGCTTAAGTACTTCTTGATAGAATTGGTTTATTTTCTTTTCTTCTGAGTGCCTTGTAGGTTGTATCATCTCATAGCTTAGAATATGAAAGAGTAATCTAATGGAAGGGCGACCTCACCACAATACATGTACTGTTTCACTGCTGCTTTGCCTACTTTCAAGTTGTTTCATGCACAGGGAATATCACCTTTTAAAATAGTGACATGCCAGTGGAACATGGCTGGTTAAAGCTACACAAAAACAAGCAGCAGAGATCAGCAGCGAAATTGTTAAGCAATCCACTCCTTTGGTGATTAGACACTATGCTAATGAGCGCAGTATAAATACTAGAACGGGTCAACGTTTTTCATTCAAAATATTTTTTCAACAAAAATGCTCTTTTTCAAAACTTAAAACTTCTGCTAAAAGCGTTCAGATTTTTCAAAATTTCCACTTTTTTGTAGAAAGCAAAAATGTTTCAAAAACACTTTATTCTGCCCCCTTTTCCCTACTATTGCATGAATGATGAGTCAGGTAGGGGCTTTTGTCTCTTTAAAATTTTTCTTTTTTTTTCATTTTTCCTTTTGCCACACTGTAACTTTTCCAAAATTGAGGAAGGTTTGAAAAGTTAAAGTCTGGCAAAAATTAAAATGAATTTTTTTTAAAAAGTGAAAAAACCCTGGACATCAGAGGCTAGAAAGCAGGCAGAGAGAATCCAAAATTCAAATTTTTGAAAGTTCAAATTTTAACATTTCAAAACATTGAACTTTTAGGGGGAATGTCTGACAAAAATTTTGAACAAATAAAAAAAATGGTTCAGTTTCAAACTCTATGAAGTGGAAATAATTTCAAAAATTGTCATTAATTTGTTTTCCCATTTTTCCACGCCCTCTAATAAATACCTCAGTAGACAGTGACAGATAGATGCCACCCAAGTACAGTGTCAGTTCTAAGTGAGTGAGAAGACCACCTTATAAACTTGCTCTCTCTCCTAAAAAAGTGTGTGACTTTCTTGTTATTTTAAATTGTGGCCCTTGAAATTGACAGAAAATTACTAGCACAAGTTAAAACAAGGGCTGAATGTTGGTGTCAGCCTTAAATCTGTCCAGAGGGGGAGCAGTGGGGTGGAAATTCCCTGGCTTGCTTCTGTCTCCCCTTGCAACTCCTGGACATGCCATTCTCCAGACCCCTCTAGCCATGGCTAGAGTGACAGAGGGGTATTCCAGAGGGGGATGGGGAGAGGATTAGGTGGCATTCCAGCCCAGGCACATTACTGGCAAAAGTACACTGGCACTATGTGGCAGGGATGTGACTATGTATAGGGATGTGTGCAGTCCAGTGCTTAATTTGTGCTAGGGCTTGCCAGGGCTGAGCCCTCGCACTTCTGGGCTTGGCACTTCATAGCCCTGGCACCTCTGGGCTTGTTGAATGTAAAAAATTGCTTGAGCCCTGGCACTTCTTTCATTTCATAAGGGGGAGGGATAGCTCAGTGGTTTGAGCATTGGCCTGCTAAACCCAGGCTTGTGAGTTCAATCCTTGAGGGGGCCACTTAGGGAGCTGGGGCAAAAATCAGTACTTGGTCCTGCTGGTGAAGGCAGGGGGCTGGACTTGATGACCTTTCAAGGTCCCTTCCAGGTCTAGGAGATAGGATATCTCCATTACAAATTAAGTACTGAAGCAGTTAGCCTTTGACCTCCATGTTAAGGCTGCTCTTACAGCCTTTCCTGGAGGCCAGATTTGTTGGGTTTATGTGGCTTCATGAGATATTTTGACATGGATGGTAATTTATGGGGGTTTAGGCATTTGCAGTTAATACTCTCGCTGTTTTCTTCCTTTTCCTTTTTCTCTGTTATATCAGAAGCTTTAATCACTATTTTCAATATACTGTCAATTTATTGTTTCCTTTGCCATGCTTTCTGCATTTGGCAGTTTTAAATGTAGCACACAGTATAATGCAAAACCCAAGGGTCATGGGTGTAGTAGGAAGAGAGCCTGAGACATAAGCCCTTGTATCAGAGGCCTGGTATAAGGCAGGACCTGCTCACAGAATCTGCCAAGAACAGGGCTGATAGTGAAGAAATACACTATTCCTAAGAAGTGCTAAGCACAGAATACTCACGCAAACACGTCCCGATATCAAGTGGTACCAGAACACCCCGATATCAAGATTGGTACAAAAACATTCCCCAAGGGTAACAGGAACACACTGACCGCTCCTAAAAGATAAGGCCAGGATGACAGTACATAATAGAGATGTTTTGATTGAACCAACATGAACAAGGTGATAACTAGCCACGTCAGGGGGCAGTGATTAACTATGTCAAAGGGGCAGTACTAACTTGTTTGTATCAGGATATAAAGATGTATCTCAGAGGGAGTATCTTTGTCCAGCCGAGGAGGGAATGGAAAGTCCTGCCATTCACTGAGCTGCATCCATTGTCACTGGCATACATATCTTAGTATTCTTGTAGAGTCTACCAGGTGCTATTACCGTGCTTTGTTGACAATAAACCTGGCCTGGCACCTTCATACCTTAACAGATCTTGTGGTCATTGGGCGGTTCGCTCGAGGTCTGCTATGCCAGCTGTCTGTGCAGAGCTGGGGCAGCACACAGGGAGAACACACATACACACAGCTGAACATCTAACCACACTGGGTTACCTGAGAATTTCTCTTTTCTTTATTGTAGTTTATTCATCGCGATTTGGCAGCAAGAAACATCTTGGTTGGCGAAAACTATGTTGCAAAAATAGCAGATTTTGGATTGTCTAGAGGTCAAGAAGTTTATGTTAAAAAGACCATGGTAAGGATTGAAACAAACGTGTTCAGCATGATCATTCTTTGAGACAATCACACCTCATCAAGGGTTATCACTATGTCTTTTCTTAGCGATGGGGCCAAGAGACAAAGTTTGGTTTTTAACCTTCCTAAAGTCCAAGGAGCCAGTTGCAAAACTCACATGCGAAGTTCAGGGATATTTGGATGTAGCCTTTTGGCTGAGGCCCATCACTAGCCTTTTAAAAAAAAAAAAACCTTTCGACTATAATCTGTATTCAGATGGCTTAATTCTATTGACGTAGATGGAGCTATGTCAGCTTACGTCAGCTAAGGATCCCATTGTGCAAAACAGATGTGTTAAAGCAATGGCAATAATGTTCTATACAGATATTTGGATCAGAGTAAATGGTACTCTTAGTACATTACTACTAAGTAAGATTTCAGTGGTTTTAATAATAGCATGTCACACATAGGACAAATACAACAATTAGTCTTATTGTCACAATTAAGAGTACTAAAAATTTAAATTAAAAAAAAAAGAAGAAAAAAAACAAAATAATTATTCACAGGCAGCTTTGTCTCACAACTGAAATAGTGAACTACTTAAAAAGGGTGTCACAATCACTGTCCAGATGTGCAGAAGGCGTTCTGGGATATAACATTGTCATGCAAGGGATGGGAATAACTCTAGCTAGAATTGTCTGATTATTTTTAATGAAAGGCAGACTTATTTAGAAGCAAATCGTTTGCACAAACTGAAACTTTGTACTCCAACCCTGGCCTTTGTATTTATTTCATGAATGTAATGAGGAAAAACGAAATAGCAATGTAAAGGCACGTAACTGATCCTTATTTTCCACTTTGATATTTACAAAGTTCATATATGAAAGTGAATCCCTCCGTGATCTGCACTGGTGTAAAGCCAGTGACCTAAGATTAGGATCAGGGCCTGAGAAAGTAGTGATACTGAATGTTGATGAATCATCGGCTCAAAACATCTTGCCAGTTCCCCTAGAGGCTCCATTGAAAAGTGGGTGGAGTGGGTGGGAGTGATGAGATGGAATCCTATGAGCAAGGATCCTCAGGGAGGAAGACCAGTTCCCAGGCACTAAACCCTTGGAATCACTTAAAGAGGAAGAAGTGAACTGTCTAATGCGTCTCTTCATCCAATTCCACATGATTCTGCAGCTGAGTCAATAACACCTTGTGGTCAATGGGAAAGGAATGGTGCACAGGATGTGAGCTATCATGCTGCATCATACAAGCAGAATTGTTTCCATTTCATACTGGAACCACACTCATTTGGAAAGAACTTCTCTTTGCTTTATTGGGAGCTGTACATCTGGGACCTGATTGTACAACCAGTGCTCAAGTTGGGGAGCATGTACATCAGTAGGCCTATTGACTTGAAGGGGCTACCTGTGTAAGTGCTCACTAATGTACGTAATGGTTCTTTGTGGTGCAGGTTTCAATAAGATTGTTTTGAAACAGCTATGAACACTACCATTAATGTAATAGCCTGTAATGCAATTCTAATGGCATCACTTCCAGGGAAGGCTTCCAGTGCGATGGATGGCAATTGAATCTCTAAATTACAGTGTGTACACCACAAACAGCGACGTGTAAGTACAGTTCTTTAACGTGTTTTTAATAAGACTTTCTTTAATAACATCAAAGCTTCATAGGGAAACGTTTTTTTGCCAGCGTTTTTAATCGTGCAGCGATTAATTCATGGCACTCAGAAAACACAGGTCTATGTGTCACCTTGTGGGCAGACAGCTTGAGCAGACTACAAGGAATAGTTTGAAAAAACTGAACCAAGCTAAATTTGGGTCTGAGTCCAGATCTGAGTTTCTACAAAGTACATGTGATGTTTGGACATGGGGTTAGTTCAGGGGCATCTCTAGTTTGAAACTCAAACTCAAATGCACCTTTGGAAGGCCCATACGAACACCAGTTCCTGCCAGCAAAGTGCAGCAAGTATCCAGGAAAACAGCAAAAGTTCAGATCTGTGATAGCAGTACTTGCCAGGAAACCAGATAGAATTGGCCAAGCTCTACGGGCTTGATCTTGCAAAGCACTTAAGCATGTGCATAACTGTAAGTACTTGAGCTGTCTCATTAAAGCCTGGGGGGCTTAAGTGCCTTGCTGAAATTTTCTGTATAGACTATAGTGTTGTTCATTTCTATGCAACGTCTGTGACATTTGGTATTTTCTATGGAACTTAGTCTCTGTAAATCTTTAAGTGAAGAGACAAAAAGAAGGTACAGCATAATTCTCCTTTGTATGACAGTCTCTTCTGGAATCACATAAATAAACTAGCAGAATATAATCGTAGTTAAAAAAGAAACCTCATAAGGAGGTTTGGCAGAAGCTGGGAATGGGTGACAAGGGATAGATCATTTGATGAGTACCTGTTCTGGTCATTCCTTCTGAAGCTCCTGGCATTGGCCACTGTTGGAAGACAGGACTCTGGACTAGATGGACCTTTGGTCTGACCCAGTATGGCTGTTCTTATGTTCTTGATGACCCCTTTAAGCGCCAATTTCTGCCCACTTGACTAGTGCTATTGAAGTCAGTGGGCTAAATTCTGCCCTGGGGCATACTGCTGTAAACCGGGAATACTTCCTCAAAGTCAGTAGAATTACTCTGGATTTATGCCACTTAACAGAGCAGAATTTGGTCCCACGGGCCTACTTGCATGAACACAATAAGCAAGATTTGCCAAGAACTTTCACAGGAAAGAAAAAATTTCCTTCTCCCTTGGAATGAGGAAATTTCTGCTTGTGTCCTGGGCAAACAGAGCATCTTGGAGAGAAAGGACCACACACAAAACAATTTAGAATTAGAATGGAGTGAAGGTGGAGGGTGATGGGGGAAAGGAGTGATCCCCTGGGACATGCAAGTGGAGCTAGGTTCTTTGGGTATGAATTCCACCAGTGTAAATCCAGCATAATTTCATTAACTTCAGTGACATTGTTCTGGGGTTACACTGGTGAAACTGAGAAGAGTTTTTGGCACTTTGTGTAATAAATGAGACAGAGACAGTGAGGAAATGGGCCAGATCCTCAGCTGGCGTAAATCAGTGTCGCTCCATCAAAGTCAATGCTCATTTACACCTGCTGAGGATCTGGCCTTATATGGTTTAAAGCCTGGATCCTTACTACCAAACAGAAAATTGATCAGAAATAGTGAATTGAAACGTACGTGCTCTGTAGATTAGCAAATTATCTTGTTCAATAACACACCTGCTCACTTTTAATCATTGTTCCTGTTAAGGTATGAGTGCTTTTTCTTTGTCCCTGTTGCAGGTGGTCATATGGTGTCCTATTATGGGAAATAGTTAGTTTAGGTAAGTATCCATTTTTATTGGTACACAAATAAACCAGCGTGGGATATTCTAGTACAGTACCCTACTGGGCATTCTGGGCTCTCAGCCCTGCACTCAGCCCACTAAGCCATTCCTCGCTTTCAAACATCGTCTGCTGTTTTCTTTTGATTTATTAACTACATCCTGCTTTGGTCACAATACCCTTAAAAAAAATGGTCACAATTCCAACTCAGTCCAGGTTAAGTACCACATTACCTGAGAAAGGTAGAGAGAGCCTCTTTTCATTATCCCATGACAAAGCATTTACAGCAGGTATTTACTTTTTAAATACTGAATATTCCAAGGGCTAGATTCATAAAAGGACTAAGGCACTTAACTGACAGTTTAGGCACTGACATCCCAGGCCGCACTGGGATTCACAAAACCGCTGCTCAGGAACCCTGTAGGCACCTATGTTTCTGCCTCTGAGCATGCTTACTGCAGCCACGCTAGGTGTCTGGATGCCTAAGCCCCAGAGCCATACACAAACGAAGAGAAGATAGGCGTTCTTTCATCTAAGTCACCTTGGGGCCCAATCTGGTAAGCGTGCTCAGAGCATGCCTACTGGATTGGGTCCCTAGAAGTGAGTTTATGCAAAACAGCTGGCGGAGGAGAAGCCTACACCCCCTCAGCTTAGCAGCTCCCATCGGCTATCTTAGGCAAGGATCCACCTAGCATGCTGGCTTTTTGTGAATCCCATTCTGAGGTGCTGATTTCTCCGCATTCATTGTATAGGGAGCCTAGGCACCAAACTCAGGCTTTGTGAATCACAGTGATTTTCTAGGCCTCTCTAGTCAATGTCACCAGGCCTAAGTTTCTTTGTGTACCTAGCCCTAAGATTACTCTCCAGCTATAACTTCGCGCCTGATCCTGCAAACACTTACTACCACTGGTCTCATGGGGTCTAAGTCTGCTCTCTGGCTACGTCTTCACTACCCGCCGATCCGGCGGGTAGCAATCGGTTTATCGGGGATCGACTTACCGCGTCTCGTGAGGACGCAGTAAAATCGATCCCTGATCGCTCTGCCGTCGACTCCGGAAATCCACCTCGACAAGAGGCGGCAGCGGAGTCGGCGGCAGCGGTCGGCTTTCCCCCGTCCTCACCACCAGGTAAGCCGACCTAAAATACGCAACTTCAGCTACGGTATTCACGTAGCTGAAGTTGCGTGTCTTAGGTCGGAACACCGCTGTAGTGTAGACCTAGCCTTACACTGCCTTCAGTAGTGTTATTCCTGCTTTACACTGCTGTATGTAAGTGAGATCATAATCAGGCCACTGACTGTAAGAATTTTGGGACGACACATTAGCAATGGAACTACGCCAGTTTACACCAGCTGAGGCTCTGGCCCGTTTGCCTTTTACTTTATAAAAACACTGTGCATGGTTTTAGCAGAGCATAAATAATGAATAAAATTATTAATATTAAATCCAGTTACTCAGTACAAGCGTCCTTCATCTTTACCTGCCTTCATCAAATATTTTGTTGCTGAGCCATCCTGTGGCTCGTGTGCTGAGCGCGGTTATCCTTAGTTGTGATAGCACCAGAAAAATTTGCTTAAGCCAATGTCAAACTCTTGTGTTTTAGGTGGGACACCGTACTGTGGAATGACATGTGCAGAACTCTATGAGAAATTGCCACAAGGGTACAGACTGGAAAAGCCTCTCAATTGTGATGATGAGGTGTAAGCAAACAAGTGCATTAATTATTATTTTATTTTCATTGTTTACTGCGAAACTAGCAGTTTTCAGGGATGCCATGATTCAGCAAATGTGTGATTTTTTGATTTTCAATAATATAGCTGTATGAAGCCTGAATGCACTGTTAGTTGCAGAATGGCACGTCACCTCCAAAGGTGCTATACTTTGTACAGGCTGGGTGGCTGTCCTTTTGCAAACCACCACAACTTTCTACACAAAAAAATCATCTTCCAGGAGGCCAATCATGGGAAATTTAAGCCCAAATATGGATGTTGGAAGGGGAAAACAAAGCATGGTTGAATTAAAATTGGTTTGCTACCTTAACAGACCTGGGCAATACCAGTATAATTACCACTACGCTGGTGGAAGCCATGGAAGAGATCATAAACGTGGATATGTGCCACTCAGTAAAGCCAGTTCCTATGAGGGAGTCTGGGAATGCCAAATGAGCTTCGCAGGTGGTGAAGCACTGCTATAACAGCTCCTGTGGCTCCCGCTTCCCCACCTCTGGTGCAGTGGATGTGGTCTGGGAGGACTGGAGGGGGGGGAAAGGAGTGTGGCCATTCAATTCTCAGCATGGCTGTCAGGGCTGATTGGTGCATCTCTTAGAGGGCTGTCTGAAAAATTTCAGCCTTAAACTGGGGCTGCGTGTCATGGTTTTAAGATGGACTCTGCACGCCTTGTGTTCAGTGACATGCATCCAAGTCATCATGGGTTGTGTCTTATTTTTAAAGGTATGACCTGATGAGACAGTGTTGGCGGGAGAAACCGTATGAAAGGCCATCATTTGCTCAGATCCTGGTGTCACTGAACAGGATGTTAGAGGAACGAAAGGTAAGGCTGAATAGCTGTGCTAGCTTGAAGTCCAAAGGCTAAATCTTTCCATGGCATATGTGTGTGAAGTTCATGAGACACAATCAGTGAGGTCTATAGCCTGCTCAATAATTAGAGCACAGCTTGGTGCACGTGAGAAAAAAAATGCATCACCTACTTCAACCTCTCTTATTTTTTCAGACATATGTGAATACCACGCTGTATGAGAAGTTTACCTATGCAGGCATCGACTGCTCTGCTGAAGAAGCTGCTTAAGACAGAAAAAATCTTCGTATATTGAGTAATCATTAAACAAACCAAAAACTCAGTCTTCTGGGGCACAGAATGGGATGTGCTGTGTAGAACTGTGTATAGCTTTTTGTATAATATTGTTGAACTACAGATAGCATTGTGCATGTCTTACAGTAAGCTCTGCCTCCATAGACTGTAGGAGTGTATATACTGTTTTGAGTAGGAATGGGCTAATGGCATAAATTCTGAGATACATTTCACACACAATAGAATCTTTTTTCGGGAAATGCGGTGATACTTACTTTAAGTAGCCCATGCAGAAACACTTATTGAAATGCATTGTGCATTGCTACCCTAGGTATTTTCCAAGAGTTAATGATAACATAGAATATCTCATTAGCTAAATTTTATGGTGATTCTAACACAACACGTTTTTGTGTACGTGCCAAAACAGTGCCATGTCTCCAGAGAACAGACAATGCTGTAGCAGTACCAGACAACACCGCTTTAGGAAATCAGCAGTAAAAGTGAGCCCTGAAAATAATTTGTTTCTAGAGTTTTTGAACTAGCTGACATCTACGCGATACAAGCAACTGCTGTTTAATAGCCAATTTCTTGTATTAAATATCAATGTTTAACTTGATAATATAAATATTAGAGAGCAGTGTTATTTTAGAAAGTCACATGGTGTTTATCACAAAGAATGGGCATTCATAAATGTATTACATATTGTAAAACACATTTCTAAAAAGTCAGTTTGGCTACAAGTGCAGCTTTTTCATTTTGTATTTGAGTCTAATAATGCACTGACTAGATCATTAGTTAATTATAAACAGGCAAGGTTCACTTACTTGCTTGTGACCACCCTATTCCTTGTGTGCCTGCATGTAGTTTACTGTGTGGCCTTTAACAAATAATGTACTAAAAGCCTTTGAAATATTTTCCTTCAGTGGCATTATTAAAAGGTTCTCAACTCCTACACATCATTCAGCTAATGTACATGCTGTTCAAGAGTGCAGGAATATTTTTACATTTCAGTATAATGGCCTTCCCATTAGTGTGTCTGACAACTGAATCCGGACGCTTGCGGTCAGATGGAGATTTTTAATTTGCTCTCAGCCCTGGGGTGGCAGGCATAATAGGACACCTGGGCCGTGGTGGCCCTCCCTGCTGCTGCTGCCTGGTGAATCTTCCTCCACTTCACCCCCACCCCCACCCCCACTTCCCCACCTCTCACCGTGTCCCCTCTTCACCATCCTTCCCCCACAGAGGCAGGACAGTGAAGAGGGACAGGGTGAGCCATACTGAGGCTAATCCTTTAGTAGCTAAAAATCTAAAGGTTTATTTATAAAAAGAAAGAAAGGTGAGCATTAAAATTGGTTAAAGGCCTCAACTATATACAGTAATTGCAAAGTTCTTGGTTCAGGATTGTAGCAGTTTGGAATAAACTGCTGGCTTAAGTCAAGATTCTGGAATATAGCCACAGCTTGGATGGGCCATTCAGTCCTTTGTTCAGAGCTTCAGTTTGTAGCAAAGTTCCTCCAGAAGAAGCAGGATTGACGACAAAATGGAGATGTTTCCGGGGCCTTTTATAGCTTTTGCCATTTGGAGGGAATCCCATTGGTCTTACTGTGGAAAATTACAGCAACAAGATGGAGTTTGGAGTCACATGTCCATGCATTTTGCCTAGTCACAGCAGGAAATGCCATTAAGTGTAGATGGGCATCTCCCATGGTCCATTGTCAGTTAAATGTGCTTTTGTTGGATCACTAAATTTGAATAGTCCCTCCAAGATGTGCTGGCTAATTACTTTGTGGGCCTTACCCAAGGAGCAAACATTTGAAATCCAGATATAGAGCCAATACTTATAACTTCAGATACAAAAATGATACATGCATACAGATAGCATAATCATAACCAGCAAATCATAGACACCTCACTTGACAACCTTTGTACAAGATTCACTGCAAATATATAACAGTGGTTGCAACAATGAGCTATCTGGTCCTATTTTAATCAGACAATGTCACAAGAGAGCCAAAAAATTATCAGGTTTCAGAGTAGCAGCCGTGTTAGTCTGTATCCGCAAAAAGAACAGGAGTACTTGTGGCACCCTAGAGACTAACAAATTTAAATTTGTTAGTCTCTAAGGTGCCACAAGTACTCCTGTTCTTTTTTAAAAAATTATCAGGCCATTTTACAGATAGAAGGGGAAAGGCCATAGAGCAAGATCTGAAAATTGAATCTACGGCTCGCTCCTGGGTCCCATGTTAGCGCTTTAACTACATGAGCATCTCTCTGTGACCCTAATCTAATTAGCTATTTCTTTGCAGTCCCATTGCCATGGTCTCTGTATACCGATTCCTCTTGGTTCATTGGACTTTTCTGGTAGTGCATAGAGAAGCCAAGCTTTAAAGGGAAAAACTACTGGGAGGAATGGCATGGCGGCGGGAGGGGCTGTAAAGGCTTTTTCGTTTACTACAGGAAAACAAAGTTCTACCACTTGTAAAGAAAATAGATCTAAAACACATCTCTGTGCCTGTATATATGTGCGTGAGACGGCAAAAATGAGATTAGGCAAACTGTGGGCAAAAGTGCAGATCAGTTTATATAATGTCACAGCTGTAATATTTTTAAAAATAATTACTGAAGAATGTTCGAGCTGTTCAGACAAATTATAACAGACCAATACCCCTACCTCAGGGTCACACTCTGCACACCAGTTGGCTTGTTAAGGCACCTATGTGTGATGCTATTTACATCGTACATTTTGGGGGCACAAATTTGCAATTGGTCGGGAGGGAGGAGTGGCATCCATTTACTTTTTCAAAATGCCTTGTAAATGCAAAACCTAGACAGATTCTCGTATTCCCAGATATATCAAGGACAACTATATGAAACCTGGTGGGGGGAAGAGACTTTAAAGTGACATGATCGAGGAACCACATGTCCCCTTTCCTCCCCGCACCCCAAAAAACAAACAACCCCCTAAACATTTATATCAGTGTATGAAAGTACCTGGTCAAGCCATAATCATGCAAGTTAACACTTTATTGTAAAATATGATTAGTTTAATCAAAATGTTAAGACCTCCCTCACCCCGCCCCGCCCCTCCCCGAGTTCTGCAAAGGACTCTAGCACTACAGGCCTGATGCTGGAGTGAGCGTGCCCCCCACAAGACCCTAAAGAGGTACTTTATTCCAGACTGGGGACACTCAGGGGGCCTGCATTTGTAGCTACCCCATTAGATGGTATGATGGCTACATCATTCCACAGGCTGCCTGTTAAAACAGTCTTTATGTAGCTATATGTAAACATACAGCCATAGCTCTGTACATACACCATCACGTTTTATAAGTTAATCACATGTCCAAGACAAATTTCAGAGCTATGTGTATATTAACTTATATAATGATTGTTTTTTAACCATGTTTGCATTCAGCCTTCTTCCTGGGGCGGAGAAGTTTGGATTAAACATTTTGTGTCCTTGGCCGGCTCAACCAACCACCAATTAAAAAAAACCCAAAACAAACATCCCCCTTTCACTGCAGTCTCCCTCTCCGCAAACAATAACACACCCCTGAGCAGAGTTTTTAGATACAGCCCTATTTCAGGTCATTTTTAGAGAAAGTTTTGTACTACTTTGCTGTGATAGAAAGATTTTTGGCACCTGTGTCTTTGCTATTTGTGAGTTCTGCAAACAAAAGGTTGATTAGTGCTAGCTGTGGCCTTTTCAGAGGTAACTAGTTCCTTTTGGATGGGGCAAGCACCCATTCCAAGTCATGGAAAGTTGATATTTGAAAGAAAAAAAAAACAACCACCTCCATCTTGGTAGTAGTATAGGTCTCCTAATTTAGAAGGTCAAGCTTAACTTCTAATACAATCTATGTGACGAAATGACGCAGCCCTGAAAGGGGAATAATGAAATTGGGCTCTTCTACAGGCAACCTCCCATGTTTTCATTAGCTAAGTGTACTTTGTGCAAAGCACCCTTTGTCAGGGTGTACAGTTGCATAGCATTCCACCACATGGTTATTTCTAGCAGGTGCTTAACCTGGTACTGATTTGGAATAAAGTTGTTTACTCCACCCTCCCTGCACCAGCACCTCCAGGTTTGGTGTCATTTTTTCCTGTACATTATTTCATTAACAAGGGAGTACATAAGTAAAATTGCACTCTACATGACACACGTATCCAGGTTGAGCTAGAATATTGGAAGGATTTCAATGCACTCTAGCTGCTCTCTTCCACAAGAGAAATCAAATCACATAGATTGCACAAGTTTCATATTTTGTGCATTACCACTTCCAAAATCTTTAGCTAGTGCTACAGCATAAACTATGGATCAGATTACAGAAGCACATATGGGTCTAGGAAGAAAAACATTGTAGCTTTGTAAGAAATAAGTGGCCAACATTTCCTTTGCAGTAAACAGTAACACCTTTAATTTGGATTTTTTTCTTTAGGTTGATGATTGTAACCGACAGCTTATTGCTTTTTAACTATTCTTCATTTAAATAAAATAAAAAAATGACCCAACCAAAACACCTTTACAAAGTAAGTTTAACAAAAACAGGTCAAAATAAAAGATATAAATCATTAGGGTCTCCGTAAACAAGAGTACAGAGAACAGCTAGCCTAACTTCTACTTTCTGGTTTAGCTGTATTTTACTTTGTAACATATACATTTCTTGGGGAAAACTGACATAGGTGAGAAGATTGTAGTGTTTCTCCACTTTGTTTTTCTACACCACTCTTTGATGGAGGAGGGGGAGAGAAGAGAAGTAGGAGAGAAATTGACTTTCCAGGTGTGATTTGCAGACAGCAGCAGTGGCACCTTAAAGGGGGTCAGGCAAATTAGTTCTTTGTTTTGTATTGTAAGATAATTTGGTACAAGTTTTAAAAGTAGAAAAACCAAGTTCTTGTTTCTTACTGTTTAGATCATCAGCAGTGCAAAGCTGTTAAGTAGTAGGTACAAAACCAACCCCTCCAACTAACCACATTTTTACACTGAACAAAAATTA